CACAGTCCCAAACTTTATAATAATTTTCATTGTTTCCATTATTTTCACAATAATATTCCAATTTTTAATCATTTTTTTTAATCATATACCATTCACATAACAACTTTTTAAATATTTCTTTATATTATTTGTTTAATTTCATGACGTTTATTATTTTTAGCGAAATAATAAAACAATTTCAGAACAAGTACTTTTAAATTGTATTAAAATTTATATTCCTTCGTAGCATTGTACAATTATTATATTATTATATAACTTACGTACATTTTTATTACACTTCTGACGTCAATGATTCAATGACGATTACTATATAGTACTTTACATTGATAAACTTGAATCTACGCGCAATGTCTATACAGAAACACGTTTTATCTATTAAAAATTTTTCAATTGATTAAAATTTTTCTTAAAAAAGAAAGCTATAGCGAATAAATATTATAGCTTTCATTGATATTAACATGTTTTCTTCATCCTACTACTTTCATCTTAATGACACAATTAAAAATATTTTACGATTGTATTTCATTTCGAACACGAGTGTTTTTTCGTGGATCGTTTAAAATAATTGGTATCATATGTAAACAAGTAAAGTCACAATACTATCGCGAATTATGTTTTCCATGCAGCAGATATGGTAATCGGACTTCATTGTATGATTCACACACCTTTCTCAATGATAAAATAATAATTTGTTTGCAGTTATAGTGTTATGCGTATGCAATAGTTCCTTTTTTCCTTCTTTTTCTCAAATTATTATTTTTCTTCGCGTGTCATCGAAATTTTGCTATGTTCGAAAGAACCCGGTAAGATAAGAACTCTGTTCTAGAATTGTTGATTGTGAACACGTTCCGATTGACCCGATACTTGTTTCTCGGCAGAAAATATTTCTCAGACGGTGGCAATCGTGTGTGAGATAAGAAAGTTTATTGAACGAGTTAGAATAAGTCGTAAATACCATTTTACGACGGAATATATTGCACATAAACAATGACTCGATAAACCACAAAGAATCATAATATGTCGAATTAATGGATTGCTGCGTCAGTAAATCAGAGTTCGATCATTTTATATAATTCTGTAGCTTCGTTATGGAAATCTTCGAATTTTCAGATAATTAATCGTAATAATTCAGATAATTAAGTTTCTAAACGTTCGGTACTTTATCAAATTATTAAACTACATAAATGTCTTCCGGTGACATGTTTTCGATAAATTTCGTCAGATCGTCGGATACGAAACGTGTTCAGATAAACCTATCAATTTTTTTTGAAAAGCTGATTTCATTTATTACAAAATGCAGGTTTAAAACATTTCATACATAGTTGTTTATTATTTCACTTTCGAACCGTGTATTGCCTAAAAATCAATTTTCCAAGTTAGTTTTAAACAAGTCACTTAAAAAAAATTGCGAAATTATTAAAAGTTTATAAAAGAATTCCCACTTTGATTAAAGAGTAATACTTTGTAGAGATACTGATTTTATAGATTAATTTAGAGAGGTGCGAGAATCATGGAAATTTCATTTTATTGCACAGAATTTTATCCAATAGAATTTGAAATAAAGATATATAGATATAATCTTCAATGAATTTCGTATTAACTTCATAGTTAAATTATCTACATTGATTTAATGAAATATGTAATAAGTTTTCCAAAAATCGCTCTGAACTATGTCAAGAATATATTCTTCTACAGTTATTTTCATCTAAAGTTTAATCTTATCGAGCGGTGTGTTGTGCGTATCGATATTTGTACGATAACGTCAACTGTTTCAACGATTACGAATGGGAGCCACTCATTTCACCGTGCCAATTCATTATTTGTGATAACACTTGAAAAGTGTGTACAATACGTTCACTCAGATGAGGATTCCAACAAATAAGGCTGCTGTCACGTGTTGTTCAATTCGCATTCACGTGTCACATATTTGTTTGTTATCTGTTGCTCTGGACTGTAGATGGTTCAAAGGATGTTAGAGATCCACGAGGTATTATCCCTCGTATGGTTTCATTTATCTCAAATGATTAAAATTCAACGAAATATTAAAATTTTGTTCTAACTGAGAAATGACATTACAATGAAATATTTTTCAGTTACAGATCTCTCATTTCAACGTGTAAATTTCTTTACTTAGAAATCTAATCTTGCCAAACAAATATTAATGGTCGTTCGTGGAATAATTATAAAAAAGTAAGGATAGAAAAGAATGTAGATAGACGAAAGTTAATATTTGGATTAAACAGCAGCAATTTGAAAAAATAATGCATTTTATTAATACTACTAGAGACATACAATTTGCACAGCAAACTCGTAGCGACTGTTAATAATACTTCTCGTAATCGTATTAATCGTATGTATAGTTACACCTACATTTAATTATACTTCAAATATTTTTCTAATAACTTAAACATTTCTCTTAAGTTTTGGTAATTAAGTGTTTTTACTTTTTGTATTGCGGGAAATATATATTATCCCGATGGCTTGCTATTTCCGGCTCGTAGTCTCGCCATAACGAAAGATCTATTGACGGAATATCGGCGCAACTCCTGATGGGGTTTCTGAAATTAGCAAAAACTCATAATTATATCACTTGTAATTATATGAATTAGAATGTTTGTCACGGAACAGGATGATTGAAACTTACTTGCGGGATACTTGCTCGAATCCTCTGAGCTGCATTTCAGTAATATGGTCTCCATTATCACAGAACAATCTGGATATACTGGCCTTTCGTATCTCGTTTAATTGTTCTGGAAAATTGTGTAATAGAAATTGAATTATGATAAATTTAATTTTAAGTTTACCATGACTAAGCATAGTGTTTAATTTAAATCACGTCGCCTCTCAGTTCGTAAAATTTTGATAGAAATTCGAAACCTAAATTTAAATGCATTGGTATTGTTTTTTCTCACGTAATATTTAGCTAATTAGTACTCTTATATTTTCGAGTCAAATTGATGTAAACAAAACGTGAATGTTAACATTCTTTTCATTGCGTTAAATATTATATTAAACTTGTACATATTATATATTAGAAAAACGTTTATATTTGTACTTTGTGTTATATTTTTATATTTGCATAGTATTTGTTATTTATTTTATTACTCGTTACAAGAAGCCACGAAAATTTGATTATCAAGGGATTTGACACTTAATGTACCTTATTGAGTTAGAAAAAGAACAAGGAAAAGGAAATAATTACCTATAGTAAACGCTACTTTCTGGTCACCCCTTTCGTACCAATACCGATCGCCCACACGAGTCTGATAAAATTGTTTAATGAGAATACATAAGAACGTTGGTCCAGAAAGCGTCCCGGGCACGTGTGCCTCTAACGATCCACCAACTGTTAATTCAACATCATCAGGACTGGCGTACAACTGTGATAACTGTTGTATATTCTGCGCATAGAGAAAGACACAATCTTTAACGACGTCAATTGCTACGTTACATAATATAATTCTCAAGTATTTATTAAAAAAAAATTTCTCGGCCCGATATTATATGGTTCAATGAAGCGATTTTTTAGAATTTATCGCGACATTTAAACAGACTGCTTGTCAATCATCATTCGATTATGCAACGGGAAAATGTAGATAAATAGCTTCCTTGCACCATGAAATATTCAATTATATAATTCAATTCATATTCACGTAACACGTTTTATTTAAAAAATGGTTTGGAGATCAGTTAATGGTATTTTGGAGGTAATGAATAATTTTAAATGATATTAATGTCTCAATTACCTCACTTTATCCAATAAATGCATAAGAATTAAAAATAATTATTCTTTGAAAAATATTAATATTAGCTATTAATATGAAACAAAATTTATGAAAAATGTTCAGATATTTATTGCAAAACCTGTTTTCACCTACCGAGAGAGAAATATAGTCAGCAAAATCTACGAAGGTCTTCGCTCTGGGCAAACCGCAATACTCGCGGAAATTATTGTACGATGCGAGGCCGTGATCGCGATTCCGTTGAATATCTATCGCTCGAAGATCTGACCCTAACGGTCGGTTGTTTCTAAATAAATATTGCGTGATCTGAAAGTAAAATGAAAATGTTCCATGATTTTTCTTTATCTTCTGTTGAACTGTTATTAAGTGTTTCACGTACCTCTTCGTCGAAGTACTGATCACTAGCTTTTTGTGGCTGATAGGACATGCCTCTCGTCAGCCCGTCCATGTTGTTGTATTCTTCGATGATGCCGGGCCTATTGAAGTAATTGCTCAGCCTCAGAGCACCATTCGAAAGACGATGTTTGTTCACTAAACTGAAACATTCGCACGAAACGAAGGGTTATAGCTTATCATAATAATTGAACATTTTATTCGTGTGCCTGTACTATGATTAGACTGCAAAGTAGAAAAATTAATGAAATTTGGTAATATTTGATTTTATCCTTGAATAAAACCCTTAGTGCAGATTCCAAATTGCTAAGTTCTAAATTTTCCTTTCTGTAAATTAGTCTCCGATATGAATTTGTATGAATATATTTATATTTCTCATTTTTGTATTACTGACTGATAATGATTTCGATTTTTTTCAGAATAATTATAAAAATCATTGAACAAATTAGACCGTAAGATTCTCTGATGATTAGAAATATAATCATGATATTCTACTTTTTGTGTCCGTTCTTTATAATTACATTTTGCATAAGCATTTAAAATAATGACTGCTGTTCTTATATATTCTACAATTGATAAAATAGTAAATTTTACTTACCTAAGAAAACCGGCGATAAGGGAATGGAAATATCTAAAAGCTGCGTTCGAATGTTCATTCAGAACGTCTGGCTTTATGTTTGGATCGTAATCATTCACATAGTCGTTTGTTTGGTATAGTATTTTGTTTCCATAAGTACCTTCAGCGCCTAAAGGGATAGAAATAATAAAATAAAACATCAAAATAAATTTTAATATCAATTATATCTATCAATTATATTGTGCACACATTTTCATTTTTAAATAGAACTTTCAAGTTTACTACTAATTTATCTAACGTTTGTTTAAATTCTGTTGAACGTAGCTTATACCTAAAAATATTGGCAGCCATTCGTAGTATGAAATATGTTGATGTTCTGCGATTAGTATGCGTCGTGTCTCTTGGAAAATCGTCTCGTCCGTCCAATGCCGATTTAAATGAGCTAAAGTATCGGCCACACGATTGTGCTCCCTGAGCAGTAGTATTTGTAATACAGTAAGCTGGGGATTCTGGTTAACTCGTACATCGCCTGAGGAAAATTAAACATTAAACAATTTGTTATTCAGAAAATCTGTATCGTATATATACGGTAGTTAAATATTTAAAATCGTTCGTATTTTACTTATAAAAAAAAATAAATCAATAAAATCTTTCCTTTAATAAAATGATCATTGATCTGGAAGTATAATATAAAATTTTATTAAACAGCATATTTTTCGGGAAATTTGTCTCACGTGTAAAGGGTAATTAAATATTTAAAATCGATCGTATTTCACTTATAAAAGCAGAAATAAATGAATAATAGTTTTTCTTTAATAAAACCATGACTGATCTGAAAACAGAATATTCTTTATTTTATATTGAAAGGTGCAACACGTGTAACATAGTTTTATCCAGTAGTTTATCTCTGCGATAAATCAGACCTCGCGCCGGACTAGTGAATGTAAAGAAATCGGAATTCCATAGATACAAGGTAATTCAGTTAATTTCAACGATTAAATATATTGAAATAATTAAATCTGACGATATTAAATATACCAATATAAGGACATTCTTCCTCAAAGGGTTATGCCACTTTTTGTGCAGTTAAAAATTTTGCAAATAATTTCAAGTTTCCAAGTTGAATGAGCTTTGTGGTACATGTGTCTTACGATACTTTTTATCACGTTATCGTAACAATTTCTTCGAATCTTACCAGCTTGATAGCAAACTTCGTTAGGATCCACAGTATCGCAGGTTCCACTCTTATTAGTTGCTGCAGGTGGCCATTCTCTATTGTTTCGAACATCTACATTCAGGCGACCACCAACACCTGCTCTCAGATTTGCTGCTGTCCGATCATTGGATCCGTATACCAAAGAAAGATCCAAGAAGTGTGTTACCACATTCAACTGAAAATTTTGTTTGTTAATTAATTAAGCGAACGAATGATTTAATTAAACGAGTGGAAACAGAATTACATTTCCTAACAAATATTGTATAGTATACAATAAACAACTGACAGACGTAAATAATAAATGAATAACATGTTAATTATATTTTATATACGATAGATACGGTTGTTGTCTTAACTCCTTTATATTTTTAATATCAAAGATTGAAATAAAGACTATATATTTCTAAAACAAACATTTGAAATATTCATTATGTAGCAATAAGTTTAATCTTCGTTTTTTTAATAAAATAGTTCATACTTTTCTATTAATTAATATTTAATAGAAAAATACTCCGTGGTTTCTCCGATTTTCTTTTTTCCATTAGATTGTGATCAACATGAATGGACAAAATATTTTCACACAATAGCGGATGTTTGACCCTTTCTATTTCGAATCCTTTCATAAGTGATTTTCCTTAAAGCTATATTATCATTATTAATTTGCTGACAAAAATTCTAGATCACTTATAAATATACACTTATTTTAATGATTACGCACATAAAAACGGAGAAATATTATTTCACCTCTATCTAAACATTACGGATGACTTTTACACTTATTAAATTCAGTTTAAAGTCTTCTCCACGGGTCAGTCTCGATATCGTAACTATCTTTAGTTACGGCTTCTGCTTTAGACATGTTTTATAGCCTATTAATAATACGCTTTTGATGGCCAATGCCATAAACTTTTCCGTAATATTTTATGAATTAATTTCCAGTGATTCTGTGATTTAATGGATGACTCTTTGAACCATGAGTACAACATTTTTTACGATAAAAACTGTATTTATCAAGAAAGTCTGTGTTAAAGATAATGCAACCAGAATTAAGTAAAACAAATGTTATATTAAAGTACAATAAATATAGTATTGATGTAATGTAATTTTTGACATTGGTAAAAAATTCGTGTTACTTGCACATTAATTGTATATGCATCGAAAAATGAAATAGTGCAATCTGGCATGCATCTAGTATGTATCCTATCTTTTGTATTTATACATCATTGCAAGACAATTTTTCAGCGTGCAACGATAGTTCGGACGATAAGGATGCCACTAATGTCACCCAACATCAATTTCACAGCTGTGGACTTTCCCCATGCTTCGTCCATGTTGGTTCTTCCACTCTGTTTCCGTTAGCTCCCCCCTCTTTGTATCCATTAGGTCCCCTGCTCTATATTTATTACTTTCCCCTTACTGTGTCTGTTGTTCAATTTTACCACCGTAATTTCCACTACTCTGTCTTTGTTATTCTAGCTAGAGCATACGGGACATTCTATCAGCGTTCGAAAAATCACGAAATTTCCAAAATTTCAAGCACTTAACATTGGATCTTTCAAACATTTGAACAGAAGCGAATTCTTCTCGTATCAGGAATCGTTTTTTAAACGACGTACATTCTTTTGCTAATTCCATAAATAAAATTTCGACAATTATGAATAAACAGACGAAATTAAAGGGATTTCATCCCATATTCTCATGAGTAAGGATTAACACTAGAATTACCCAGTATTTATTATAATTGACATGTAATGCCTCTAAAAATTATAAGAAAAAATTATTTCCAGTTTCTTCAGACATTGATTATAGCATTTAAGTGAAACTGTTTATTTTCAAAATTATTTCGAATATTCAATGTTTTTAAGATATTAATAATTGCGATCTATGAGAACCGAAACCAGTCATTCCAACCTGTACGGTAGTTCCAGTGTCAAAGCACTAAAATAATGTATTATCATGAAACGAAAGCAGAATCGTTCCGAATACACGTCTATACTTGTATTTTTTCAGTTTCGTTTGAAATAACCTTTATAATTATATTTTTCATTCGACAGTTTCTTTTCGAGTGTACATCTATAACTATTTTATTTTTCATTCAAACAGTTATAGATCTGTATTCGAAACTCTGGCTTCAGTGCGTAATAATTAATCCATTTGCCTCATAAGCGCATATATGCACACCACCGTTGTGTAATTTGTATATAGCAAAAAAAAGGAAAGATACATTTTATGAGTGCAATAATTACCGTGTGTCTATACAAGTTTTTACTTTCTTATACGTTTTAAACCAGTTTTATCTTGATGCAATTGAAACATTGGTGGTGGCGAGGACAAATTTTCCACTTTTTCGTATGATGCAAGTGGGTTAATTTATTACTTCGTTGCTTTACATAGTCACCTTCTTTGGACAAGTGAGTGACAAGATATCCTTTACATTGACACGTGGAATGGTAATCGTGACGCAATCAGGAAGTATGCAAGAGAATGTTCGCGTAATGTAACTTTCATTCGCGGATGTTTAAGCGAATCTTTAAAGGCTTAATTGACGGTTGCGAACCCTGCACTTACTCCTGATCCTGGTGCATGGGTACATTCTCGGCGTCTACCGGCGAGGTGAGGTAACAAACGAGAGAGCAAAGTAATTCAATATAAGGAATAACAAACCTGTTCCGCTGGTTTGTACTGCGAGGAGCAACCACGGTCAAGGTCAGTCGTACTACGAACGAAGTTCAGGCATCTTATGTTGGCCTTGCTGAAGGTGGGATCATTGTATGGAATAAGTATGGGGTAACATGTACCGTGAAGCAGCTGGGGGTCCACTAATTGCCCGTCGTCGGTACAGCATTTCGTCGCGTGTGGTTCTGTTTGCATAAATATTGAGGATAACGCATGAAATTGAATTTTCGATTAAAAATTCGTTAATCACTGTTACGTGATTCTATTACATAAAAATTAGAAATAATAAATGAAATTGAATTTACAATTAAATATTCGTTAATAGTTGTTGCGTTGTTCTATTACATAAGAATTGATTATGATATATGACATTGAATTTGGAATTTAAAATTCGTTAATAATTGTATGATTGCATTATAATCTTTACGAATGTTCAATTGAAAATTTATTAATAATGCCTGTGCGACTCTTTTATATAGAAATTGGAAATGATAAATAACATTTGATTTGCCATTGAAAACCAAAGAAATCTTCGAAACATTCTATTGAATATTTATACTAGTATTCAAGTATTTCAAAGTATCACCAAATTTTCGAAGTATAAAAGATTAAAATGCAAAGAGTCATTCATTACGCTCATTTAGAATTGATAAGCGTAAATGTTGGTTGAATCGACCGCACAACCTGTTGAACACACCAGTCTCTATGAAGGACGTTTATTTCTAGAGGTGTGATACAGCGTTATATTTTTCATTGGAATAAAAAATGTGCATTCATTCATTTATTTCTATGTACATTAATTTCCTAAATAAAACTTTCTATATGTAATTGTTCTTGTATTAATATCCTACAGAACATCATTATTTTTCTGTAACAGAAAGAGAATTGTTGTAACTACCATCAATGATTGTAAAAACTGAGATTTACTTGATTGAGCAGATCCGTCGATCATAGCCATGTCATGAGTTATAATTTGTCCCCATTGCATCGCCGCCAATGTCCAAATGGGATCGTTGATATCCGCGTGGGGAAATAAAACGGTGCTGACCAATCGGGAAAGGGGTAAACTTGCTCCAGTAATTGAAGTCGTGGGAGATCGAATTCCTGTATAAATGAAACAAATAAATATGCACACATTAATAGACATTAAAATGAATAGCAAACAAAATTTTACCTATTTATAAAATATTTGTTGCTATCTGATTGTTTAATTAAAGCTGCAGACATGAATATCAATAATTTATCAATTTATATAATAGAATTTTTATTCGTAATAAGTATTTACTTATTAGTAATAAATTATGGAATCTATAAATAAAAATAAATTGCGAAATTATTTATAAATACAAAGCAAATGAAATCTATCATGAATAAAAATAAATTATGAATTTTCATGTAAGCTTCGAACCTTGATAAAAAAGCATCGGAGAAATATCGAATTTTATAAATTGGCAAAGTTTTAATCAATGGAAATAAATAAATATTTATTTAAATATAAACAACGTTTGATAACGCAGAATACCCCGTTTGTGTATTATTAATATTTTACCATCGGAATTCTTTAAATTGGAGCTTTCACCGCGGAAACGTGAAATGTTTATGTAAACATAAAAAATTAGAGCACAGAATAAGATACGAAATCGAATATTAAAATCCTCAGTATTGCTTGCAGTCCAATAGCGTTAAGATTTACAATGACGGTTTTAACATTCCCAAGCCATAAACGAGGTAAACAACCACGTAACGAACTATCGCATCGCGAAGAGTAGGAAATACCAATGAATGACTATTGCCTTCGTACATTCTTATACAACGCCTTATAGATATTTCATGATAAACTGGTTTTACACTTGTCCAACTTTCCCGAAACGAATGTGGACTCTTCCACAACTGTACTTGACAAAACTACTTTGTTGTCAACAGTTCATTAGAACAAGCAAAAATTCGACAATTCTAAAATAAATAATAGGAAAATAATATTCAATTTGGGCTTGAAAAAATTCAGTGGCATTTATATTTGTTAAATCCTACTTGAAATCCTCGTCACTTCGACACGATATTGTAGAACAAGGAGCTAAATCAACTGATTAATCTATTCAAGGCTTATATATGAAAAACATGATTTCATACCTCAGGTTGCAACATTGTTTAAACTGTGACGTGAAGTTACGTGTCCATTTTTGCTATTTTAGTTGCGTCATGTGTATTGGTGATTTTTTCTGATTGCACATTGAAACCTACTTTATGGATTTTAATAACAGTTTCCTATAAAGGGGATTTCAACGTTCAATCAGAAAAAAAATCACCAATACACATGACGCAACTAAAATGGCAGAAATGGACACGTAACTCACGTCACAGTTTAAACAATGTTGCAATTTGATGTATGGAATCGTGTTTACTCGAACCACGGTGTCAATTTATTAATATTTGCGAGATTATCAAGATTGTCTAGAACATTGAACAGCTTAAACTTAGAATCAACAATGAAAGTTGCTCTTAGTACAATTGACTCATCATTCTTTCCGTTTGCTGAATTACTTAACGTTTAAAGATTCAGATCTCTAGCAATTCTAAAGTTAATCATTCCTATTTCAATATAAAATTCTTTGTTTATAAACCGCGCTCCACCGGTTTTACAATCTCCGGATGTTAAAATTCAAACGTGCTCTGATTCACCTTGAACCGATAAGAAAAAGGTAGCAACATTGCTGCCGCGGCGTGATGTTCTTTTTTCTGCTTCTGGTGAGGCAACTTCGTCACGCACAACGAAACATTATAATTAAATTAGTTCGCACTCTTTAACATTGTAGACGTAGTCAAGATCGTGTATCGGATTTCCGACCGATCGTTTGAAAGTTTATGACGGGGAACACATAAATTATTTGCTAGCGCGCTTTGTTCCGAGAATGAGGCACGGCCAACGAAACATAACCTAGAACTCGTTCGCAACAATATTCTCTTGTTGCTTCTTGTTTCGTTTTGCGTCATATTTCGGTGAGGAAACGAAAAAGAATTCTCGATTCCTTGGATTTCGATTCGAATACAAGAAGCTCGTGTTTCCCCGTGATTGCAGTTATTAATTGAGACACGATCGTTGACTTGCTGAAACGCTAATACCTTTATTACGCAAATAAAATTATTATTTATAGTGCATTGCGTTACGAGGCTAGCGTTTGAGACCTTGGAAGGTGCAGGAGTGTACCTAATTACCCGTATTTCAAATCTTTTTTTATAACACAGTACTCAATCATTTATTATCTGTTAACCGAACGATTTCAGTCTTACGAAATGCTCGGATAAAAAGTTTTAAACGGAGGTTCGGATTAAGAGGAAACCTTTATTAGCAGACGCGCGATTTTACTAGGAGCCCACGTGCAAAGTTCGAAATGAATTATGTGGCCGAACGTAGTCCAAGGATTCGCAACCGGAGAGGATTCAACATTTTAGTCGACGAGTTACCTGCCTCATTTACTTTCAACGGTTATAACTACCTCGTTTCTTCGAATCTTTTTATTGGAAACTTTGAAAGAACTCTGTTTCATCTAGAGTATACAACAGAACGTTGATTCTTCAACTTCCAATTAGTTGTGGCTTAATATCAGCTAGACAATTTCGAAAATCGAGACTATCGACGCGACAATTTCTGTCAGATCAGAAACTTATGTTTTAGAATAATCGATTTATCATTTTAGTGTTAATAATCATTTAGAGTTTACAGTGCTAAAAGTATTAGCTGTCTATCAGTTTCTGTGTTTAAAACAAATTCTAAATTTTCGTACGAAAGGACTAAGTTTTCATCAGTTTCGTTGAGATAATAAACTTAAATTATTGATGTATCATAAAAAGTGCTTATCTTGAAAGAATACTTATTAGAAACTAAATTGATATTAGCGTGTAACGAATTATAATTATTAACTTCAACTCTTTTACTTATCCGTTACGGTGGACACAGTCCAAAAAATGTTTAATCGCCTTTCACTGGGCCTATTTTAATGATACAAAGAGTTTGCCAATGAATGTTTCTCTCTTTGAATGTATTTCAGGTGTATCGCATTACTCGCTACAACATGAAATTGGTAATTTCACATCGAGATCCGCCTACAATACTTCCAATCAAGACGCGCGTTCCGTTGACTAGAATCAAGCGGAGCGTGACATTCCGAATGAGTTATTTATAGTAGTGCAGGGGAAAAAGTTAACAAAACAATTCATTTGACATTGACAGCGTTACGTGGTTTCGGCGTTGTAACCGCGGTTACGAACATAGTGTTGTTTCGATTGCATCATCTGTCCGAAAAACCGTGATTCTTATAACGTCGAGTGTTCGATCGCCTATCGGAACGATCAATCGGATGGACTGGTCGCGAATAGGTGCTCGAACATGTATACGAGAAAAATATAATGCATCGAAAACAAATTAGATAAAGAATTCGGTGGAACGTACAACGCAACGTTAGTATAAAAACTAGTGAGTAGACGTGATTTGTAAGGAAAGATTGTTAAATTTCGTGTAACAAATAATCTAACAAGCAACAAAAGTATTCGAACGTTATGTATGCTTAGACACAATAATGTTCGATAAGATGTTGGCATATTAAATAGTTTTTCAATTATGTTACATGTATTGGTTCTTGTAATATGAAATATCGGATTTTACGAAAAAAAGGAAACATTATTTAGGCTATTAACTGTAGAACTTAATTTCAAAAATCTCCGATAATGCTCGCAATAAAATGAAATAATGTGTATGTGTACTCAAACGCAGGCCAAATGCATCTATAATATATTTTAACGAAACGTTAAGGCAAAACGCAGAAGAGTTACATATTTATCTGAAGAAACAAATAATTGACCGTTGAAGGAATTAGTATCATTTTGATTTTAAGACTGTTGACGGATCAATGTTCTAAAAGATATTTATTCGGTCAAAATATGCTCTGTTCGATTCGATACACTTCTAATAATAAATAGCAATATATGGGGTACAATTCTTTGAATGATAATTTATTTCTTACCATGCGGTTTAAATACTTTCGTTGTTGACTGCATATGTGCATAGCAAAAAATTAATGGAACGTAATTGTTATATACGGCAGATATGTGACGTTAAATGTAGATATTGTCTGAGGACCGAGAAAAAAGTTCGAGGAAATAGTTTCATAAATTGTGCGAAGGAAAGTAAATGAACGGCGTAATACATCGGGTGTAACAGCAGAATAAGAACTGCTCGTTCCAGAAGAGATGTTTATCCATGGCAATTCGACAAGAGAAATCGACCGATCGATCGATCGCTGGAAAAAGCTCGTCGCACTGTAATAAACGGACGGTTCTGCATAATTGTTTACGACGGTTAAACAAAACATTGACCGGCGAGTTTATTTCCGAATGAACGGATCGCAGTCGGCTAGAGTGAGAGTCGATCGATATTTTTCTATTGCTCGCGGAAGTGGATTGTGCGTTGCGAACCGAGGAAACCGTAACAAAAATGATCAATGTCGTTTTAGTTTGTCGTTTGCCGTAGAACGGTTCAATGAACCGTGCGACTGCGAATTTACTTACAATCAGTATTTCTTCAGCGTAATTTGTACAGTTTCTACAGTCGTTTACGTTGCGCCCATGTTTTAGCGAGCATACAATATGGCTGTGCTTCGTATGAGCAGCTTATTTTAACGTTCTTCGTATTTTGTTTAATTTCTTTGCTGACTCTTAGTCAGGTTTTAGAAAATATTTACTTCTTTTTCTTTCAGGTTGTTACTTATTTCCGTTTTCATTTGTTTTGATTGAAGTAATTATTATTTATTGCATTTTGATCGAGGTAAATATTATTTACTCTATTTATTTATTATTAAAGTAAATACTATAGGTGTAGTTTTTGTATTTATAAAAACCATAATTAAAGAGAAACATAATCCATGATTAATTTAATATAGTAATTTGACAATTCATTTAAATTAGAAAGTTTAAACCAGGTAGTTCTTTTATTAATAATTCAAAATTAATGTTTACTGTTCTCGTTATTGAGTTTATTCTTCAAGTTTTCAAAGATTGCATGACATTGAGAAACTTACCGTCACCGTAATTTGAACGTAAAAGACGTCCGTATCTTGTGTTCGCCATGCCCCACGTGGGATGGTAAAGATTATTACATGACCCGTCGTACGATCTGTATCTCGAGTCCTCACAGCCTCGTGGATATGTGTCACCGCACATGATTTCTTGATGAATGTTACTTGACACGTTTTGGTTGAAACCAAAAGTGTACCTAAGAAATATTCAAGGCGTATGAAAATATAAACAGTACAATGCCAAGTGACTATTTCAGATATAAATGCAGTTTACAGATATCATAAATATATTAACTAATAAAGTAATAAAATTTGATAATAAATTAATGACCTAATAAAAACTTAATTATTACTAACAGTAAAATGTATTTAACCCCTTGCCCTATGATTCATTTCTTAATTATGATCGGAACAACTACTTTATCGTTAATGATTTATTAAGAACACAACAAATTTTAATGCTTATTCTATGTCTATGTTTACTCCAAAGGTTAACGATTGATAATAGAAAAGTAATATTTCATTTATATTTCAAAAGAATTAATAACACTTATATTTTTTCAATTCAATTGAAAATTTTAATCACGAGCCTGACACGATATTGTAGATGAAAGGGTTAAATACACTTCAGATTTGTATTTTACAACAATTCATGATATTCGATATTCTACATGTGTGTGAACTTAAAAATTCTTTAGCAACTAAGTTTCTATTATACATACCCATTGCTCACGAAATTTCGGACATATGTAGTGAATGGCGCCGAGGAGGAATAAGGTTGGTACACGTTCTGTACAAATGGGAAACTGTGCGACGTCTCTGATGCTTCCAGATCGAAAAGATTCTCGTTATTTCCTAAACAACAATGCAATAACAATTTATTACGGATTTAATAGAATCCGAAATATTGTAAATTTAAAGTCTCACACTTCCTCCAAATATTACTGTCATTCACCTTCGACTGTTTATCATTTTACCAAAATTATTTCTTTTAAATAATTATATAAATTAGAATACTATATTTTTAAAACTTTCATTCATAGTCCACGACGTAAAGGATACATTTATCATCTATTCATTTTTTATCATTCAGTCTACCAGATAAATCAACCAAGCCAATTAATTTCCCTGCAACCAGTTTCCATATTCATACGCCCGAACAATTTCTCCTTGCAATTAGAACACCTGTTATCAGCAATAATATCGATTATTAATTCTTTGAAAGGTTCACGCGTGGACTCGCTTACTCATTAATAATGAATGAGTCATTCCTTTCTACATTAGCTAAGAGACGACCGGAACCAGTGTTGAACAAAAGTTTCTCAAACTAATGAATACATTCAATTTGATCATCATTCGCGAATAACGCATAATTAACCCTTTGCGGACGGATGTCGACATTTCGACGAGCTGAAATTTTCATATTTGGAAGACTAAGTCGTAAACAGATGATTTAATTACTCGAATAGCAAGAGATCAGCACGTAGTTTCCTATTTTTCTATTGTTCAAGTAATTGATATATAATTTAGCTTCATCTGTTCAGGATTTTGTATATTTCAGAGAATCTTCGTCCGCAAAGGGTTAATATATTCGATATTTACATATAATTCAGAAATTGAATCTATTTGTTATTTTGAGTAACTTTCGCATATGGTAACATGAGAAACGTTAATAGCATTATTTTGCTACTAACCGAATATGATAATTCCGAAGACATGGTCAGTTCGACTTTTTTGCGTAAACAATTGATAAAATTGCCATTGATGGTTTTTCATTTGCAATTTCAATTCATGTCAATCATTCCGTAAGAAAGTAATTACAGTTTATCCACTAATCGAATCTGGTATTCTAATTCCTTCAGTTTCTATCTGACCTATTTCCATTGTATTATATAACAGAATGAGTATTCCATTATCTCTAAGTAACGCTACCTAATGCGGTGACATTTAGCAAGAGAACCTGCGATAATAACAGCGTGATTCAATTGAATAATTTTATACTATTCTTTTTCCATTTCACATATTCCGCAGCGTAAAACCGTGCGGCATTTAGCGTGTTAATAATTGCAAAATGAAGAAATCGGGAGTAGGTCATTTTGCCCGGTCTGGTAGTTTCAGTATTGAATACGTTCAAAGAAAATACATCCCTCCCCCAGAATTACCTGAAAATTTCATTCAAACAATTCCCAACATTTACCTAGAACCAGAATACTCCATCCATAAGTGAGATCACTGTAATCAAGGCAAAGTCACCGGTTTAACACGTTGAACACGATTTCGCGCAGGAAAATACACGAATTGAAGAAAGATACAATATTGAATCATTAAATTGAATAGCGTTATTGTTATTGCACGTTTATCTTGTCACTGCAGTAGATAGTATTACTTATAATACAGAAATGTTTTCGAACAGTCACTGTTTAACCCCTTGTGAACAACAAGTGAGACTCGCGGTGAAGATTTTCAACATGATTCAACAAATATATATATTACTCAGTTCATTCGTATTCAAAGTAAATATTATTCCTCTGTAATCAACTATTACACTTAAAATGAAATATAGGCACAACATATGCTCAGAATTTTTCTCTTTTCCAATAAGTTATTAATGACAAAGTAGCCGTATCGATCAGAGTTGAGAAAGAAATCATAGGTAAAGGGGTTAAATGACGGAATTATGGTGATTTGATTTGGTTAAGAGTCACCGGTGACCTCCATGGCATTCAACGTGTTAATGCCACGCATATGGCATTGTGTTCCCGGAACCTGAGTATAGGACACAAGGATTTTCCCACGACAAAGGGCTGAACACTCGTTCGCAATTGATACGAATCGGCGACGAGCACCGATGCGGTCTGCTCGATTAATATTTTCTTCCTCTTTATCATGCATACCATCGGCTCGAGCACGTTCACCAAACATGACCGCTCGTCGTAGATCCAATGTCGACGTAATAGATCGTGAAACAGGCTCGTTCCACCGTGCCGATGCCTTTCACTGCTTTCGGTCGGAACGGTAAATGTTACACCAACGACAGATCTTATCGATGCAACTCCGGTAACTCGGTAAACGAACGACGTGTGCTTTCGCCCATACCGGAAAATCCTCGGAAACGAATTTCAATCAGGCCTGGGCGCATCGGTTGGCCCGTTGCCAAATTACCCCTTTTAATGTTGAACTTGAGGGGCTCGACACTGGAACCATCG